CCGCCGGGGCCCGACGCCCCCTTTCAGAGAAACAAGACACCCCCCCCCCAACCCCCCCGGCCCGGGGCCTGCTGTCGCACCTTCCGAGGTCGACGACGCTGGTGATGCCGCGGGACAGCGCGTAGCGCGAAGCCGCCAGCACCGCCGCGCGGCGGCGCTCGGAAGAGGGGGGCGGGATGACAGACGACACGAGGCGCATCGCGTTCTCCCTGCGCGTGGGGCGGCGGGAGGCGGAGGTCGCGAGCTGTTGAGGCTACCAGCTTCTGATGCCAACAACGTTTGATAAATGTTTGATGGGTGCATTGTATCATGAGTACGATGTTGGATGGGTAGGGAGTTGCGAGACGAGGGGGCTTGGCGGGGCCTGGATGACGATGCGGCCGGGCCGAACGCGACGGGCCGCACGCGCCCCCGACACTGCCTTGGGGGAAAACGGCCACGGCCCCCGCCCCCAGCCGGCGCCCGGCCGCACGACGAAAGAGAGCAAGCCCGCATGAGAGCAAGCCCGCATCAGAGCAAGCACGAGCGAGCCCTGGAGGAGGGAGGGGGGGTATATGAAGGGCGCGCCTGGGGGCCGCAGGCCGGGACGCACCTCAGGATGCCCGTGGGCAGCCCCGTCAGCGGGTCCCTGTCCACGATCCCTTCAGCCGGGTCTGGCGTGCTGGCCCCCACTCCGGCCAGCTCCAGGGCCGCGCTGTTGGCGAGGGCGAGGTGGGAGTCCATGCGCATCAGCATGGCGGGGCGGCCGCCGGTCGCGGCGTCGATCCAGGTGGCGTTGGGCAGGCCGCCACCCCATTGGTTGTCTGCGGGGCAAGGCGGAGGTTGATTTGGGGGGAGAGTTCGGGCGGTGGCGTCGTGTGAGGCATGGAAGGGGGGGGGTGCTGCTGCGCGGAACACGGGAACGCCCACACCTGAGTGATGCGCTAAGGGGCAGAGCGCGGCTCTGCCCGAGGGCCCAGCGGGGTCCAGGTCGCATCCCATCCGCAGGTCAGGGGCATGCGCACCCGCAGGGCCACCGCGCAGGAGGATAATGTGGTGCCCGGCAGCAGCACCCCTGGTCGCGAAGCAATAACAGCGGCCGCGCAGCCCGCCAGCCCCTATGCTTTCAGACAGCATAGGCTAGCCAATAGGGCAACAGAGAACATCATCAGTCCACCAAACAATCAGCCCACCAAACAATCAGCCCATCAAAGAATCAGCCCGCCATCCATTGCGCGCCCCCAGGCCTCACCGTCCCAAAAGCCCCCCAGCACCCACTCCTCCGGGCCCAGCTTCTCGGCAGTTGCCGCGACCGCCGCCGCAAACTCGTCCCTGCTAGCCGCGCGCCGCAGGTCCACCCCCGCCAGCGACAGGCCGCCTGGGGCGGCGGGGCGGAGGGAGGGCGGATGATAAATGGTGCGGCGAGGCACCGGCTTGCAACATGCCGTTGGGTGGTGCGGCTCGGGTGGCTCAGCTGAGGGGGATAAATGGCACATGGGAGTAATTGTAGGCAGCGGGCCCAGGAACTGACGCCAAGGCGGCGCCCTGCAAGCACGTCGCGTGTGCGGTCAGATCCTCAGATCAGCATGTCATTAGATCGCGGCGGCGGCGTGTCGCACCCGGGATGAAGTGGACATGATTGTCTACAATTCCCTGTTGGGACGCGAGGGGTGTGTGTGTGTAGGGGGGGGAGGGCGCGAGTGGATGGCTGCGCGCAGGCACATGCAATGCTCACCGGCTTTCAACCCGACCCCTCGGCGGCAGTCCCCGCTGCGCGCCGCCGCGCGCCCAGACCCAACAATCAAGCGGCTGGGCGGCGCGCCCCTAGACCACCCGACGCTGCGCCGCAATCCCCCCTCCCTGGTCGCACCAGGCGGCGCGCTCAGAATGCAGCAGCCCCTCCCGCGTGCACGGGGTATCAACCCCCAGCTCGCCGCCGCGACGGCCGCGCCGGGGTCCCCTCGCCCCCGCCCGCCCCGCAATCCGCCATGCCCCACCGCCTACCGGCATGATAAACGCGTCCCCGAAGTCCACCAGATCGTATGCGGCGCCCTGCGCCGGCTCGCCGCCAATCTGGACGACCTCTCCGCTCTCAAGATCAACCGCCATGGCGCGCGCGCGCGGCGCCGCGGCGTCGCCAGTCCAGATGTCGCCCCTGACCCATGTGAGGCGCCGGACTGGGGCCGCCGCGGGCGGCGGCGCGAGTCCGGCGCCGGGCACCGGGGGGTGGCCGGCGGGGAGGGCGGCGCCGGAGGCGCTGGTGTAGCCCTGGTGTATGGGTGGGAGGGTAGGGTCCGGTTTTGGAGGGAAACCGGTTGGAGGTGTTTGACGAGTCGGTTGAGCCCTCGCACACGCGGCGCGCGCACGGGCGGCTGGCTCCCGCCCGCATGGCGGCGCCGCAGAGGCGCATGGCGGCGCGCTGCTGCTTTGCGGGGGGCGGCGATCGTGGCGCGGAGGCCGCGGCGCACCAGGGGGCAGCCGCCGCCGCCGCCGCGCGGCGCCTGGGCCGCGCCGGGCGCGGCGGGCGCGAGCGCGGCGTGCAGGGCCCCGAGGTGGGGCACGAGCTGGGGCCAAAAGGCGGCGATGACTGCGATGGCCAGCGAGAGCGCCATCAGGGCGCGGCCCGTGGGGGTCATGCGCTTGTCTGTCTTTGAGGACTTCTTGAAGGGCGGCGCCACGGCGCGCGCCGCCGCGCCCATCGTCGCCGAGGGCGGGGCGTCCAACACGGCGGTGCTAATGCCGTGCGCTCCATTGATGGGAGCAGCTCCAGGCGCACACATGGCCTCTGTGCGCGCCCCTGGCGGAAGTCAAGCTGTGGGGTCAGATCGCAAGTGTGAGACACGAGATCCCCCGTTAGAAAACCAAAAACGGTGCGCACTAGCCTGAATGCGTCATCCGCCAACGTGCCAAGCTTTTAATACACCACCGTATCGCAAGCCGGTATTGGTTCCAAAATGACGAAGGTCCAATGCGGGGTGCGGCACACATGATAGGATCGTGCAGAGGCTAACAGTCTATCCAAGGCACCCAATCAAAGGCTCAACAGCCTGCGTAGGCGCCTGCTGCCATGCTCGCCGCAGCGTTCGGCGTGGTCAGCAGGGCTGGGGAGCGCCATGCGCCCCTCATAGCAGCACACCTGCTGGGCGCGCCGCAGCCCGGCCCGCAATGCGACAGCGCCGTTGGCTTCCTACGCCAGCTGCCTTTCAAAGGGCTGCAGCTGCGCCCGCGCAGCCTCAGCAGCCTGAAGACCAGCCTCACCGCCGACGACGTCACCAGCGCCGTCGCGCCCTCCCCCGAGCTCTCGTTCACGGAGGTCGCGTCCATGCTGAAAGGGATCGTGGGGCCGCTTTCGTGGGGAGACCTGGTGTTCGGCGTGCAGGTAGCTACCAAGCAGCTGCGCCTGCAGCGGGCGGACTAGCGGGCTTGCGACGGACGGCGGCTTGCGGCACCTGCAGCACGCACATCAGGGCGGGGCATTTGGGGATCCTCAGGGGCGCGCGCTTCCAGGCTGGCCCGCTGCACAGCCCCAGCCTGTGGGGCGGCGCACAGAACCCCGGCGCCCCCCGCGCCCGCGGCCCCGCAGGCGCTGGCGCGGCGTCACCGGGAGGCCGGCCTGGGCTACAAGTTGGAGGGAGGGACCGCGGTCACAGACCGCCGGCTCGTTGCGCGGCTGCTGGACGCTGCCGACCTGGTGCGCCGCGCCATCGCCCTTGCCACACCATCCCCTGAGGAGACGAGCGCCATGCCTACACGCTGCGTAATCCACCTATGTGTGCGGCCCCTCCACGATAGCATGACCGTGCCTGCAAGCCCACTGCCTGGCCGCCACACGGGCCGCCAGCCCTGCATTTTTGGCACCCTGCAAAGACCCTTTGCACGGCCGCCGGCTTCGCAGGCGTATGGTGCCTACAAGAACAACCCACAGAGCCTGTGCGCCGTCAGCAGCCTGACGGTGCGCCCTGGCCGCCGCCGCGCCACCGCCCCTATGCATGTGGCATCGGCCCATGTTCTCTCGACCCTCGGCACCCGCTGCGCCCAGCTGCGCCACGATGGGCCGGGTCCGGCTTCAGGCCGTGCGGCTGCGGCGTCAAGCGTGCACACGCCCTCCCAAGCCATACGGCTCATGCAACAGCGGCGCTTGACCCGCTCTCGCACAACTGCTGCACCTGCTCGCCACCCTTTACACCAAACCCTCAACGATTGCATCTCTCGCATTCGCCAAATCGCCACGGGACCACCGCCGCAGCTGCCATGCATCCACCGCTTTGAGCCGGACAACGCGCTCCTCCGGCCGGCCTACTTTATAGCGACAGACCACCCCTCCGCGCGCATCGTGTGGGGCATCCGCGGCACCAAGTCGATGCACGACGTCCTCACAAACGCCATGGGCGCGGCGTGCGAGGCGGGGCCGGGCCGCTACGCGCACGAAGGAATGCTGCAGGTGCGGCCGGCCGCGCAGCGCTGCTGGGGTTTAGGACACAGGGTGTGGGATTCAGGGTCAAGGGGTTAGGGTGGCTTTGGTGGGCCGGGGCTGGTGGGTGGTGATATCAGCTGCGGCCGCGAAGAGGTCCAGGCAGAGCGTGGGGGGTGCGGCAATCGGTGCCTGCCGTCGATTTTCAGCAGCCTGCCTCCTGCTCTCGAAGGGCTGGATCCTCCGAAAGCTTCAGCCTCCTTGATACGTTTGAGCGCGCTTGCAAGCACATACGTCGTTATAGAGTGCAGATGATGTTGAGTGCTGCACGTCCTAGGTCTGCTGCGCCCTCATCAATCACGCCTCATACCCAACCAGGCGGCGCGCGAGCTGATCCGGCTGGAGCTGGGGGACGTGCTGAAGCTGAGCGGGCAGCTGCCCGGCTACGAGATCCTGATCGTGGGCCACTCCCTCGGTGAGGCCTAGTTGTACCAAATCAGGGGAGGGGGGTGGGAGACGCAACGTTGCGGCACACTGTGCGTTGTGCTTGAGCAATGACACGTCTCGGCTGCCTCGTGCTGGGCGGCCGCTCAGGCTTCCCTGCCCTGCCCATGTGGTCTCACGCTTGGCGGCTGCACCCATCTCTTGATGTCCCTTTCAAAAGTGTACTTGTGAAAACTCCGGTCAACAAAACCTGCAAGTCAAATTCGCCCGACCATGTGTGCAAAAAACCTTCTGCCGGACTGCAGGCGGCGGCGTGGCGGCGTTGCTGACGCACACTGTTATGAGCAACCCCGCCCTGCGCAGAGCGGCGCTGCGCCACGCGCCGCGAGTTTTATGCGTCGCAGTCGCACCGCCGGCCGTGACCTGCCCAACGCTGGCCGAGGAGATGCGGCCTTACGTAACCTCGGTCATCCGAGAGCACGACATCGTGCCGCACTGCTCCCTCGGACAGGTGGTGCGGCTGCAGCAGGAGGTGCGCGCCGCCTTTGTTGGCAGTTGTCCAGCCGGTGTTTTGCTGTGTTTGACACTTCTTGCCACCAATGATTGATCTACGTTTCTGCGCAGTGGTAGCAGCTGCTTTTGCTTGTCACAGACCTGCTCGTGCGGCAGGGTGGCATGAAAGGAGCACCCTCAGCAAGCCACCGATTACCGCTGCCGGGCGCCCGCCTGCAGGTGCTTGATACGGACTGGTACGCTGAGCTGAAGAGCTCGGTGTTTGAGATGGCTTACATCAGGGTGAGGGGGGGATGACATAAGGGCGTGGTGGGGGGGGGCAGCCCCGGGTCCTGGTGTTCGCTGTGGGAGAGATGGTGCACATCAAGAGAGAGAGTGTGTGCGTGCGTGCGTGCGTGCGTGCGCGCGCGGGGTTGAAGAGAGGCGGGATGTGCACATCAGGACGCAGTCATTACTGTGTGTGAGGGGGCCGGGGTGGAGGTGGAGATGCCGGACGTCAGCGTGCGATGCAGGGAGAAAGGGGGTTCGACGTACAGCGTAGTGGACTGGGCGGAAAGCTGGATGACATCAGCGGCTGCGTTTGAATCATGGGGGTGCACCAGGGGCCATATGTCAGGGTGTGGGCAGGTGCACGCAGGATGAGGGGAGGAGGCTTTCACTGATGTATGTGTGCGCGGCTTGGGGAGCTTCGACCGTGCTTTGACCGAGCTCTCAAAATTTCAAACCCAGGGGATCTCCGACGCGATCTCGGCTGCCGGCCACCTGCCGGCTGCTGCCACCAGCGGCGCAGCACGCCTGCAGCGCCTTGCAGCCGAGCTGCTGAGCAGCCGCCACAGGGACCAATTCGCGTCCGCCCTCGGCATGGCGGCCCCGGCGGCAGCGGCGGCGCGAGCGGCTGCGTCGGCCCCGACTGAGCAGCAGCAGGAGCAGCAGCAGCAGGCACAGCCAGCAAGCGGCGGGGCCGGGCCGCCGGCGAACGCGGACCCGCAGGCAGCGTGGCAGGTGGCGGTGGTGCAGCGGTGGGTGTCTGATCTGTCGAAGCGCCTGGTGCCGTATGTTGAGGGCGCCTCATCGCTGAGCGACGCGGAGCTGAGGCGCGCGGCAGACACCGCGGTGGCCAGCCTCTCGGGGGCGCTCTCCGGCTGGACCAAGATGCTGCCGGCGCTGCCGGCGCTGCCCCAGCTGCCGTCTCTACCACAGCTGCCGCTGCCAGGGCTGCCGTTTGGGGGGCAGCCGGCTGCCCAGCCGCAGGCACAGGGTGCAAAAGACCTCGACCAGCAGCAGCAGCAGCAGCAGCAGCAGCAGCAGCGGCGGCACGGTCAGGCGCACCAGAAATATCAGCAACCGAGCAGCGCGTCTGAGCAGGCAAACCAACAGGGGCACCAGCCGGAGAGTTGCCAGCAGGACAAAGGGCATGACGGAGGCGCCTTCAGTGAGCTGCTGGACCTCGCTAGCTGGAAGGACAGCCTCGATCTGTGGTGGGGTGAGCCCAGCGGCGCCGACAGCAGCAGCAGGCGCGGCCGTGGTGGCGGCGGGGCAGCTGCTTGGGGCGAAGGGGCGGCACAGCGGCAAGGCGCGGCGGCAGGGGGACAGCAGCAGCGACTAGAGCCCGCGCAGGCAGAGCCGCAGGGGCGAGTGCAGCAGCCTCAGCAGCAGCAGCAGCAGCAGCAGCAGCAGCAGCCGTACAGGAGCCTGTATCCCCCAGGGCGTGTGTTTTACATCCGCGCTGCGGATACGACACCGCAACCCCCGCAGCGGCCAGGGCATGATAGCACACGTGACACATGTGCAGATGCGGGACCTGCAGCCGCCGCTGTCGTCGGGCCGGTTGCGGCCGCCGCGGCGACGGCGGCGGCGGCCGCGGCAGGCCGCGGGGATTCTGCGCCCGCCGCGTCGCGCTTTGAGATTATTGAGGTGCCCCAGGCCGCCCTGCAGAGCGAGGGGTTTGACAGGATCGTGCTTCATGAGCGCATGCTGTCAGACCACAGGACGCGCGCGTACAGGGGGGCCCTTCTGAGGCTGCTGAGGGCCCTGCCGGTAGACGCTGCCCCAGCAGATGGCGGCGGTTGAGAGGGTGGCGGCGGCGGCGAGGTCGGGGTGTGAGGCGGCCAGTTATTTTTTGAGGGCAGGGCAGGGTTGTGGACTGAAACAACGTACGTACTGCTTGATGAGATGGGCCAGCCCATGCTAGCAATAGAAGAAGGACTGCTGGTGTGTGAGTACTTGGATGGGCGTGAGCACCTGCGCGTGTACATGTGTGAGTGCGCGCACGCGTGCGCATGTGTGTGTGTGTGTGTGTGTGTGTGTGTGTGTGTGTGTGTGTGTGTGTGTGTGTGCGTGTGCGTGCGCGCATGCACGTGAAGACAAAGCGTGTGATGAAGGCTCACTTCAGTTTATAGTACTTTACTGTACAAGGTTTTGTCTGGTGATGGCAAAAGCACAGTTTTTGGGCGGCTGTCAACGCTGCGTCCGTCATTCAATCTGTGTTTGGGACGGCAGGGGTACACTTTCAACGGAGCATACATACAACATTTGGTGGTGCGCACTGCCAAACCTGCCAATCAGGCGATTTGGTTCCTCGTAGCCATGCTGTGGCTAGTTCGTGCAAGGCTGCAAACCTGTGTTCGCAACCACCCCTATGACTGATCACACGATCACTCTGTCACGAGCGAGACGGTTGCCCACTCTGCATGGGTGACGTATCAAGTCCATGTAATCTCCATCGATGGCCACGGCTACATCACAGTTACGGTAGTGCAGGGGCCCCCGCACCAACCCCGCCCCAACTCCTCCTCATGTAGCATTGCGGTGACGCACATCTGCATGGCAAGGCTTCTTCTGCGGCAAAAGTCTCCCGAATGTCTAAGCATCGTACATTGAAGGTCAATTCATGTTGGTTTTATCGCGTAGTAGGTCGTGAACGACCTCTGACGCTCCCGAGGCGGTAGGGCACAGAAGCGACAATTGAAGCGACGCTGGTGGCATTTACACTGCGAGGAAATCATGCGTAGTATTGTAGCAGTCTTTGCGCTGGTGATGGCGCTGGTGGGGCCCCTCAAGGCGGCAAGCAACTGCATCTCCTCAAAGCCCGACGCGCTTGCCGTGTCGGAATGGTGCCGCCTCAACGGCCCAGGCCGCTGGTGCGTGCCGTGTGATGCCGCCGCCTATATCATGTGCCCACTTGATGAGGCTGAAGCTCCCAAGATCGCGCGCTGCGCGCCAGGTGGGTTGCAGGGTTGATTAATGCGGTTGCTGGCTAGGACCAAAGGCAGGAGCATTTGTGCAGTTCGCGCATGAGCAGGTCGTGGCCCCCTTCCGTCTTACAATTTACGTTGATCGGCCGGTGTGGCCAGAGCGGGCGTGTGGTAGCAAGCGGTGGATTATCAGCCAGCCATCACACTGTAATCCTGCGATCACCTCACTCGCTGCTGACATCACACAGCCCAGTCCTGGGACCCCACCGCGGCACGCTGCGTCGCCGAGGCAAAGCGCCGCGCCGACGCGTGCGTCGCCGGCGATGACGTCATCGTGCCGGGCCACAACAACGAGGTCGACCCCCCACAGTTGCCGCCGGCGCCCGGCGCCGCAGCTGAAACCGGCGCCGCGAACCTGGGAGGGGGCGCCCTCAGCGCTGCCGGTGACGGGCGTGGGGGCGCGGACGACGTCGCCGGGCAGGGCGCCAGCGCCGAGAGGGAGCTGGATGCAGCGATGGGCAGCATCCTGGCCGACATGATGCGCAACAGCATGGCCAGCCCGTTCAGCGGCCTGATGGGCGCCGGCCTCTTCGGACCCGCGCCCCTGGGCGGCCTGCTCGGTGGCGCCCGTGCCGGGCTCACCTCAGCCGCCGGCGCGGTCGGCTCGCAGCTGCTGTCCGCCTTTGCAGCGGATGCGGCCGTGCCTCGGCAAGGCGCCAGGTCGGGCGTGATCAGTGGCGGGCGGCCGCTCAGGATGAGCATGATGCTTGCCAGTTCTGGGCCGAAGACAGACGGCTCTGGGCCCTCTGAGCCGGAGGTTGTCATGAGCTTGGAGGTGGTGGGCAGCGGCTTATCCCCAGAGGAGGGCAGCAGCGCCAAGGGAGGGGCAGGCGGGGACGCGGAGGCGGCGGGCGCGCTGATGGCTGAGGTGGCTGCCCTGGTGAGCGTGGTGCCCGCGGCCGCTGTGCTGGAGCTGGGTACCCAGTGCGGTATTGAAGAGGGACGGGGCCGGGTCTGGGTGGGAGCCTTCTTGCATGCAGCTGCGCAGTGCAATTGCTTCTGCGCGCAAAGCAGCACGGCGCCTCACCAATCCGACCGTGCTGGCGTTTGCTATTGCATGCCACACGTACCAAACAGATGGAGGTCCCTACTGGCGCCGGTGGTGCACGCGTCGGGCGGGATGCTCAAGACAACCTCGGATCGTTTGTGCCTCCGGAGCTTGCAATGCTCGACCAGATAGCACGTGATCTTGCGCAGGAGTGAGTAGCCAGGTCTCGACACCACCAGAAAGGCTTTGGGTGCTTTTGGAGCTGCCCAGGCAGAGGACTCCTTGTGGTGGCACATGCGGCTGCTGCCTGTACGTTTGCCGCCTTGGACCTTGCATCCGCTCTCTGCAGCCGTGTGACCCCCCGATCATCAATTTCACGTGCGCATCTCCGAATAAGATGGATGCCGTTGGGCCCCCCCACACGCACTTTCCCAAGGTACGAGGAAGATTACGAGGAGCGCCTGCGCGCCGGCCTCGACAGCAAGAGCGACGCCGACGGCGCCGCCGCCCCGCACCGCCGCCACGCTGCGGGCTTGGGAGGCCGTAGGTCACGGGGTGGCGCTCTGGGCGGGCTCGGCGCTATCTTGGACGAGCTCGTGGGGGGCGATAAGGAAGAGATCCTGGGCGATGGCGCTGCAGGCGATCTGGGTGGCAGCAGAAACGCGGCTCCTGAGGTGCGTGGGATTGCGAAAGGCGGGAAGGGCGGGAGTTGGTCCAAGGGAAGGGAGAGCGGCGGGTCGCGTGCGTGGGCACAATGATTACAGCTCATGGGGTGGTGAAGATGGGGTCAAGTCTACGTAACGTCAAAGCGGAGTGTGGCCACATATGCGCGCCCCCAGCGTGGCTGCTGAGCGCGGCGCACAGCAGTGTTGTGCGTGCCCGCGCGGCGTGCGGCGGCGCGATTGCATCACAGTGAACGACAGCCGCCACTGCTGATGTAGCCTCCCTTGACCCCCCCACGTGCCAACCCAGACCAAGCCCGTCGCCCTCACCGGCAACTCGACCCAAGACTCTGACGCGCTCGCCGGCGCGATCCTGGAGCGCCTGTCCGTCCTGGCGCGCGCCGCCGCCCTCGAAACCCTGGAAACCGTTGACGCCGGCGGCGCAAGGCCCTCCCTCAGCGTCCACGACCTTGCGCAGGAGCTGTCCTCGCGCCCGGCGCCGCCCCAGGCCCCGGCCGGCGCCGCGGCGGCACAGGCAGCGCGCCAGCGCATCTCTGACGCGATCGCCCCCCTGCTCAAACGCCAGACCCCGGCGGGCGCCCGGGCACTCGCGCGGGCACTCGTGCCATCCGCCATTGACGCCGACTTGTCTGAGGCGGCGCCAGTGCTGGTCCTGTCCCCGAAGCTCAGCGGCATGCTGGCAGGCAGCGGGGTGGAAGCTGCCATGAAAGCGGCTCTGGAGGAGCTGTCGTACAACGATGTGCTGTCAGCAGATCTGGGGGATGACGCCAGTGTGGGCTCGGGTAACATCAGCGACGATGCGAAAAAGCAGGGCACACCGGCAACACCAGAGGCAGGCGGCAGCACACAATGGCGAGGCCCGACCCGCCAGCAGGACGCGGCCGGCGACAAGGCGGCAGCCCCGCCAGCAGAGGCGGGCTCCCACGCGCC